TCAGATGGTTTTTCCGCATCTTTTTTTTTTTGCTTTTCCAAACTTCATGCAATCTCTCTCTCTCTCTCTCTCTGTCCCCATCTCTCTCTTTCAAGAGAAACTGAGAAAAAAAGGGAATTTTGAAGCATTAAATTTAGTACTATAATTTGATGATATATATACATGTTTATGTATATGTATACATCGTAGGAGAGAGTGGGGAAGAGAAAGAGAAGGAGAGAAGGGCAGAGTGAGAGGGAGAGAGGGAGAGGTAGAAGGAGGAAGAAAGAGATGAAATAGGAGGGAGAGTTATCGCAACAAAACGCTATAATCCATCCCATCAAAATTTTGGTTTCAATGTATATCAGTTGTATCGCTATGTACTCCTGAAATTTATAACTATTTACTTTAGGATTTCGGCAGACAAAAGAAAATGATTTAGATTTTTAAACTAAAAGAAGAAATAATTTTTAGTTTTAAGCATTACTTGAAATTTAATATTAATAGTAGAGGTAGTAGTAGCAGTAGTAGTAGTAGTAGTAATAAATAGTAGTAATGGGAAGGATAGCATCATTAATTCGTCATGGTCATGTCAAATAGAGTGCTCATTCCTCCTGTTGTCTTTAGAATTTTCATACCCTCTCTTGCCAATCATACGACACAGATGTTTCACAGATGGTAGTATCATTGTCGTAACTGTTACTTTCAACCATCTTTCTTTTCATTCTTAAAAGTTTTCTCTACGATTCAATGATTTGTTATGTCATGCAGAAAATATGCCTGAATTAAAGCATAATTTAATGATATAATTAAAACTACTAATATCACTTCTTTTTTTGTTCTTCTTCTATTACCAAGTTAAATTAATGACGATTAAAATGACAATGTATGATTGCCACATATTTTTACTTGTAAAAATTAATTTTTTGTTTCTTCTTGCAATTTTTGTTTCTTGTTTTTGTCTCATTTTTAATTAGCTTAGTTTAATTAATTTGTTGTTTTGCTTTTTTTTCTATCACATTAAATGACATTAGGTGTAATATCATTATTGCACTTTTTTCTTTTTTTTCACTATGTGTAATTAACTTACACTTTATTTTTAGTGAAATTTTTAAATTTATTTTGCAAATGTTTCGTTTTATGTGGTGTAAGTTATAGAATTGTTATTGGTTATAATTCAATTTTGATATTTAAATTTATTTTTGACATTATAGGGGGCTTCGATTTGATCATTTTGGTATGCGCCCTTCTCATTCTGTAGCACAATGTGTATTGGTGCTCTGTTTCCTTTTTACATCATCAGTTGAACATGGTATGTTTGTTTTAATTGCTGTTTTCTTTTGTTTTTTTTTTTCACCTTTCTTTTCTTTTTGCTCTTTCATTTGAATGAAAATATTTGGAAAACAAAATTATCAAATAAAAAACAGAATTTTCGAAACTTTTGTAGATTTCAAGTTTCATGTTTTGTTTTTATGTATTTACATGTATAAATTACCAAGAAAATAAGTGATTTGTTTACTCAGAAAATGAATCAGACTTATAAAAAGAAATGATATAGTTAATAACAAAGCTGGAAATATACTCACGCTTCGAAAAAATTAGAGTCTTTTTATTTCATGCTCGCGTGTACAAATGTTTTAACGTTGAAATGGTCATAGGAATTTTTTTCAACTATTTTTTTTCTCCTCAGAACCACCAGAAGAAGATGTATGTAATGAACGGTCATGTTACCCTGCAACTGGTAATCTTCTAATTGGACGGAAGAAAAGTCTCACTGCGACATCAACATGTGGTTTACATGGTCGACAACGTTATTGTATTGTATCACACTTAGAAGAACAAACAAAATGTTTTTATTGTGACAGTAGAACAGAGTGGAAACCAAATCGGGAACCATATAAATTGAGCCATAGGTGTGTATGCCTTCTACCGTTTGATACAATTTTTAGAGCAATTCATTTACTTTCTAAATTCTCATTTTTTATTAAGCACTTAATGTTGTGGTCTTTTTGCTCTGATACTTTCAAAACTGTCGGGCATGGTGCTTTTATCTGTGTTTTTAGTACCTTTAATATTATAGTACCACGTATCTTTATGTTTTAAAGCACTTCAATATTACAACACTTGTGTTTGGTTGATTAATATGTTTATTATGTTATTCGACGTGCTTACTTCATAGTTGTTATTTCAGGATTGAAAATGTAGTTTCGGAGTCATATGAAGATCGTAATAGGAATTGGTGGCAATCGGAAAATGGTGTACAGAATGTGTCAATACGACTCGATCTCGAAGCTGAATTTCATTTTACTCATTTGATCATAACATTCAAATCTTTTCGTCCTGCTGCTATGATTATTGAACGTTCAGCTGATTATGCAAAAACATGGTCAAAAATTTTTTCCTTGATTCAGTTTAATGCATAAAGCATTGCTAGTAAAGAATCAAATTTAAATCTATTCGTAATTATAGTTTTGTGGGCATCATCGTTAAGAGATCAGTAAATATGAACAATTAATAGTCGTGTGCAAATTTCAGGACTCCGTATAGATATTTTGCATACGACTGTCAAAACACTTTCCCAAATATTCCTGAAAGACCGCCGAAAAAGCACACGGATGTCATTTGCACAAGACGGTATAGCGATGTTGCTCCTTCTACAGGAGGCGAAGTTTGTTTAGTATTTTTTTTTTGAATCATTTCCTTTCACTTTCTTAATTTCTACAGGATTCTTAATTCTCTGATGTGTGAGATTCTGTAGAAATCTATTCCTAACAAATGTATTGTTGTAATCCCTGATATGATATATAGTGGAAATTTCAGTTGGTTTACAAAGTGATCTCACCACATATTCCGACGGAAAACCCATATGCTGATGAGATTGCAAATTTGCTAAAAGTTACGAATATCCGAATCAACTTTACTAAGCTTCATACACTTGGTGATGATTTGTTGGATTACAGGTATTTTCCTCTATTTCAGTGATTTTATTTAATACAAATTAATACAAATTATTCGAAATTAATACAAAAATGCTCGAATTAATACAAATTCGAGCATCTCTCAATGGGTAGTCTGGAATCTTTTTTGCTAAGTGAAAGTGAAAATGGATAAATTTACTTGATTTTTTAACATATAAGCATTTAACAGGAGAATGGTTCCCCATCGTTACCAGTGTTATGAAAGTTTGATTGTCTGAGTTGAATAGTTTCAGCAACAATATATTTGATATTTATTTGTGTAGGAGAGTAACCAAAGAACTTCTTTATTGACAGAATAATATGCAGATCTCTTTAAACAATAATATCGACCAAACCAATAGACTTTAAATTTGGTAATATAATGGACAGTTGGATTAAGAGAAGAGATGCCAGGAATATTTCTTGTAATAACGTTGATGTAGCGTCCAATCCAAAAAAAGGAAAGGAAAAAGGATTTTTTCTTTGGATAGGCTTATATATGTTAAAGAAGTGAGAGG